CGATATTATCAATTTTATACGATATGTGTATGGATACGTTCCGAAATATCCGTAACCCGAAAAAATGATAATATCCTCAATATTATTGATATTTTAGTCTATAGTTCAAACTATAGTTTTGGGTCGATTGAGAGATTAACAAAGGGCACATAATCAAATCACCTATGTAGCACCGATACAGAGTTGCAACTTGCAGGGGTATGTATACGGTATACCTGTATCAGATACAACAATTGATATAATCGTTGACTTTCCTGATATGTTGACAACACGATGAAGGGATAGGATCAAGATACGGTGATGGGTTATTTTGTGGTTTTTCTTGAAAATTATAGAAAAATCGGGGTTAAAATGTAAATTTGGAAAGTGGATTTAATGACCCAGCCTCTTCTTCTCGACAGACGCGTCTGTAATCAAACGGCGGCAGCAAAACACAAGGAAGAAGGAAGAAGGAAGAAGTGGAAAGAAGAAGAAAGAATAGGGAAGAAGAAGAAAAGGAGGAACCATCTGCATCTGCTGCTCGCCAGGTTTTTTTTTCTCTTTTAATGTTTTAGCTGCATGAGTCCAACCAAATTCTGAAAGTCTTCAAAATCTATTGCTCGGTGATGAAAATTAAAACTGCACAACTATTATATACTGAATTTGGAAAAACAAAAAATTCCTTGAATGGTGTCCTCAGAAATGTCAATGGTTACAAAAGAATAAGTTCAAATTTTAACCAAATATAAACAGTTTAAGCACACCATTGCAAACTTGTTAGACATCTCATGAAATCACTAATTCTTTCTGAAACATTAGAAGAGATGACAATTAGACAAATGAAGAGTACCATTGCTTACCATAGTTCTGGGGTACAATAGTGAACCTTTAGGTGGCTTTAATTAGGGAACCCTATCTAATGAAGAGCAGCAGACGTGGGTTAGGCCATTTGGCCAGGGCAATGGGTTCACCCCTTGCACCCAAGTTCAAATCCCTCTTCCCGTAGATTAGATTAATTAGACTATTGCTTGTATTAAAAAATAAATAAAAAATTAGGGAATATCTCATAGACTTCAATTTTCCCATATGTCTGAAATGCAAATGTTGGACACAATCAATTCAGGGAGAAGCTTCTGTTGCCCAAAAGTTCCCAACACATGTACTGTAGAAGAACAAATCTGCATGAGATAAATTTTTTAGTCTACCTTCTGCTTGAAAGACACAATAAAAGACCAAGTCTGATATAAACTTTTATGTATTTTGTAATAATAATTGGTATTGTATTTTAGACAATAGCAGTCATTTTCTTATCTAGAAGAAAATGTCCGGTTTTCATCTGGATGCTTACTCGGTTGCCAATACTATAGGCCGGTAGATGCATTTGGATGAAACTTGGAGTTTAACTTCCGGATAAGAGAATCATTGTGGATAATATATATCATATGTTTTGTAGGTTTTTTTTTTGTTTGCCAAAGTAATGTATTATAATAGATTGAGTCCGAAAACTCAACTTGTGAGTCTGTTGACTTCTCACCCACTGTAGCCCTTCATTGTTGTCCTAGTTTTGGCCCAAAAGCTCTTTCTTCCGGAGCGTCCTTTGTGCTCAATTTTGAAAACAAACCCATAATAGGCCAATCATAGCTCAACCAGCACAACATTTAGCCTGTGCTCTTCACTAAAGCTTTCCTCCTCTTCATATTCTTCTTCCACTCTGTTCTTAGGGTTTAATCCTTGTTGTCCTTTCTCTTGTACCAAGTGATTTCAATTCTTTCAATTTCATAGTTTAAGGTTTAATTTCTGCCTCAGGTACTGCAATTATATACCACTAACTTATATTTTCTTATTGTGGGTTTGGTAATGTTTATTTCTGGGGGCACCCAATATACAGGCACAGCTGCATAATAGACTCGGTGTGTTAAGAGCTTCCTAGTTGAGTTTATAATCTACCTTTTTTTTTCAAAAAAAAAAAAAAAAAAAATGTTTAGGTTTTAAGTTCTTACTGATTTAGCTTCTTTTTTATTCACAAATGAGTTTGTTGAGTTGGTGTGTTGAGATATTCAGAGTCACTGGTAAGCTAGCTGTGTTACTGACTTGTTGGTCTGTTCTTTTATTTTTACTTTGCTTCAAGCTCTGAATCCGAATGGAGTAATTTGGTTCTGTTGAGAAATGTTGGTATAATTTCTGGTTGTGTTGCTGGTTAGTTTAACATTGAATGAAATTTGGTTAATTAAGTTTTGTGTTGCTTAGATGCCGGTTAGTAAAGTGACTAGACTGATAAGATTGCTTGTGTTGTTGGTTTGTTTGTAATCTGGTTGTGTTGTAGCTGTATGATTGAAAATCTGAAAGTTCTGTTACAAATTGAGTATAGCTCTTAGATTTGGTCAACTGAAAGTTGTTGTAAAAAACATTTATCTATAGAACTGTAAGGTGTGAAATTGTTTTATTAATTATATATTCATTAAAGGTTAAAGTTAATGATTTTTTTTTTTTTTAAAAAGTTAAATTTGTTTGGGACACTTGGCCCACCTTAAATTTCATCCAGGCTCTGCCCTGACGCAGAATAGAGGGCCATGGTGAGGAAGAGGCCGAACGTATTGGTGACGGGCACACCAGGAACTGGGAAGACAACAACTTCGTCCACCTTAGCCGAGGCGACACAGCTCCGCCACATCAATGTGGGTGATTTGGTGAAGGCCAAGAATCTCCATGATGGCTGGGATGATGAGCTAGACTGTTACATCATCAACGAAGACCTGGTATGCGATGAGCTTGAGGATACAATGGAAGAAGGAGGTAACATAGTGGACTACCATGGTTGCGATTTCTTCCCTGAGAGATGGTTTGATCTTGTGGTTGTGCTCCAAACTGACAACACTGTCTTGTATGATCGCTTGACTCGAAGGTAATTTTTCTCAGCACTGCTTTTTCTCAAGTGTCGCTTCCTTGAGAGTCAAAAAATGAAAACCAATGTTTATGGGTTTGTGTGTTTTTGGAATGTGGCAGAGGGTATTCAGAGTCAAAGCTCTCCAACAATATTGAATGTGAAATATTTCAAACTCTGCTTGAGGAGGCAAAGGAGAGCTACGCGCAAGATATCGTTCTTCCCTTAAAGAGTGATAGCATTCAAGACATTTCGACTAATCTTTCTACTTTGACGGAATGGATCAGGAGGTGGCAACCATCAACTTAGTTTCCCATGATACAGTTTTGCTTGGAGGTGCTTGTTGTTTAAGTTGGGTCACGCTTTTGAGATGAATTTTTCATGTATCATTATAACATTTGTATTCACTCTCATCAGTTTTACCATTATGTGATTTGAATCTCTCTTGAATTGAAATTGTTCATTCAAGGGGATTTGATTAAATGAATTTTTATAGAGGGGCATTCATAATGACTATGCAGCATGCAAATTGGCGTGAGTTTTGGTCTTGTTGGACCCTGGAGGAGAATGAAATCCATATATAATTGTCCTCGATGCTTATTCATACTCTATTTATGAACAGGAAGTACCGTCTGCCAGATACATTGGAGAAACCACGTTAGCACACACGTTAGAATTCACAGTATATGCCACTATATACTGTTTTACAAATCCATAATTCTAGCCAAATAAGCAATTAGTATGTCAATAATTTAGAATTTACAATATATACACTATCATATATATATATATATATATATATATATATATATATATACACACTGAGAGCTTTTGTTGAGGGATCACTTATTTGAGGGACATCCTTATAGGACTCACTCCATATTGTATTAAATTCATTCAAAGATCATCTTTACAAAAAATCACTTGAATCCGATATCATTTGACCATTCAATTAAATTATTGAAATTTAAGTACTTTCTTGAAACACCGTGTTCATTGATTTTGTTGGTCTCAATTAGATGTCTTAATGATTTTCAATTTGTCTGAATTTTTTGTAAGAATAATCTCTGAATGAAGACTTGAAAAATAGACCGTTTGGATCGTTGAAAAGAAAGTAGTAGGGAACCATAGAGGGTGCCTCTCAAATAAAATAATTTGAGGGATCTCTAAATAGAAGGGGACAATGCATTTCAAGTAATGGTTTTTTTCTTGAGTAGTCCAAAGCAATTTTATGGAGTTTTATCTCAATATGCTCAAGTGTAAGTATACCTGTTGTGGAGGTGTGTGTTTTTTTTTCTTCCTATTTTTGTAACCATTTAGATAGTTACTTTTTAACTTTAAATATGAGTTTAAAGATCCATACCAAATGTATTGTATGAGTTTAATTACCAGGACTAGAGGCAATTTATGGGTATAACTATGTGAACAAGAGCTGACTTTTGGGTTACCTGCACAAGAGGTGTATGCATAGATTCCAATTCTGTTAGGGCAAGAGACAAGAAATTTGTAGCTCAAGTGGTTAACAACATTTACCTACGTTCCCTTTATTTTCTTTTTGTCGTGAGATAGGCCTCATCAACTGTATAACTTTGGGCCTCATCATGTGAAAGCCCAAAGCAGTCCAGCACTTAAAAGTTTTGTTCACACTTCGCACTCTCCCGGAGTCCATATTATAACCGAAGCAATTGTTCAGTTGTTCCTACTCAATTCAATCCTTGTTCCTCCTCTTCCAGTTTTTCTTGTTCGCTCTCCCTCTCTCACAGTGAAACAGTTAATCCAGCACTTTCCAGTTGTCACCAAAATCCCAGAAACTCTTACTTTACTCGGTGGGTTGCTCTCAAAGGGCCAAGAAGGTACCTCTTCTTTGTTCTTTCACATTTGAATTTGGTTGGTTTTCTTTTTCATTTTCTCTTGCAGCTTGAAGCTTTGTTTATTGCCTTTGTTATCTGGTTATGTAAATAGTAAAGGATAGTTGCAATGGCTATTTATTTGGTTGTGTAATGGCTCTGTAATTCGTATATTTAGACCGATTTTAATGCATTTTGATGAATTTATTTACATGGGTAATATTCAGTGACATTTGGAAGATGATAATTTAGGATTTTGGAGCTTCATGTGAGATTTTACAGAGCAACGGAGGATGAGTACCTTTCAGATTGCTTCCTCCCAACCTAGCATCTGTTTCAGAAACACGTCTCAAGCTCTCCGTCCATCTCCAAAGCTTCTTCTTCTTCCAACTTGTTTGCAACCAACCAATAATGCATCCATTCGGCAACAACGGATGCCGGTTTTGAAGGCCCAGCAATGCAGGGTTTTATCCAAGTACCATCGATCTGCACCTGTCTGCTTGTTAGGTGGCAAGGGAAAGAGTGAAAGTGGTGATGAGGTGAGAGGCCTTTATTGGGCTATGGGAACTCAAAGAGTTTAAATTGAAGGTTTCAAGAAATCGCTACATGGTTGTATGTGTAATGACAACAAAAGAGTCCTACATTTTTCTCTCATGTTTTCCTTGTCATAATTGCAATCTTTCTTCGTGGCATGTGAGATGATGCTTTATATGCTTACGATTATTTATTATGTAATGAAGGGCATTGAGGGGATGAATATTTTGTTTATGAGATATATGTATGCTCATTAATTACTGCAAGTTTCTTTGTCATCATGCAATGCATGGGTTGTATATTCTCACTACACTTCTTAATGCAACCAGGGTTCCCCTTGGAAAGCTCTTGAGAAAGCAATGGGTAATTTGTAGATGGACCAGTCGATAGAGGATGTATTACGTCAGCAGATTGAAAAGAATGAATTTTATGAAGAGAGAGGAGGTGGTGGTGGTGGTGGTGGCAGTGGCAGAGGCAGTGGCGGTGATGGTGCAGGTGGTTCTGGATCAGAGGATGAAGGCCTTGCTGGAATCATGGATGAAACACTGCAAGTGATTCTCGCAACCATTGGATTTATTTTTCTGGTAATAATCCTAAATTCTCTTACAGAAGTGATTATCATGTCTTTTCTTGATCACTCCTTATTGAGTCTTTGTATGAAAATTCTGTATCCACTATCTGTGAAGCGTGTCGTTTATTTGGAAGTGAGAGATGAAAGACAAGAAACACACAATGCACGCAAGTGAAAGCATCACAATTAACAATCAATGGCTCTTAGGTAAAGTATAACTCATTTCTACTTGCTTGCTGCTGCCGAAATGAATACTAGCCCTTTGGCTCGTGCTTTTGCACGTGGCCAGAGGCTTTTTCTCTAAGCATCCGCTGAAAGTATTGAATCACCTTCAGCCTTTGAGCTTCGGTAAAATGATGGGCCGTAGTTTAGATTTTGCTTCCAGGTTGTTTTGAAATTTAGTATGCATCTTAAGTCCCACCAGCTTTTTTATTGTACCTTGCTTCTGTAAATTGATCTTCCGCTCATCCATTCTCCATGCTTAACTTTCTGCGACGTGGTAAAATGGGGATGCCAAAAATATGCTGGAAACAGCTGAAGAAATACAACGTGGAGTTGGTTGTCCTGCTTTTCAATTTCTCTGTTATTTTAATTGATTGTCCTGTTTTTTTACCATTTTATTCTCATTAATAAATCATGTTCTTCTAACTGTTTTCTTTAGCAAAGTGTATTATTAGGATTTTCAAGAAGCAATGATTTTATTTTATATTCTAGTAAAACAGTTATCACCTCTGTTGTAGTTTCGTCAACTGTTTAGGGAATCTAAAGTGAGCTTGGATACTCCAGTTTCATGTAATGCCTTATTGTGTGAGAGGTATAAGTTCTTTGGAGGGAGGGAATATTGTGCTGTGATGGAAAAAGTTTGGTTGTTGTGGACCGGAAAGGAATAGGAGAATTTTTTAGGGAGGTGAGGTGGATCACTTGTGGCACAGTGGCATACGATTAGATGTTGGGCATCCATTGGGTGTCAGTGTCTTAAGAGTTCAAAAAGATTTATTTTCAGGCTTTATTATTATTATTATTATTATTTTATGATTGGAGTACTGATGTGCAAGACCTTTTAATTTTTAGTGTTTTGCGGTAATAGGTTTGGTGATTGTTAGTTGTAGATCAGATAGCTAGGTAGCTCAGCAGACGGTTTGGCCCGTGTTTTACTTTTCATCTTTGTAGTAATAAAAGTCTCTTTCTTATGAAAAACAGTATGTTTAGTGGAATGAGAATTTTCCCCACTCCTTCTTACTATAAAATAGGGGTGGTTGCGGTTCGGTAACCGCGAATTTTTACTCAAACCGCAAACCGACCGACTATTTGCGGTTTGGTGATTTTTGAAACCGCAAACCGACCGTGTTTTGCGGTTTACCGCATTGCCGTAAACCGCAAAATGCGATCGGTTACCGCGAATTAGCGGTTTAAAACCGCAAGTTCTCAAGCATTCACAAAAATATAAATTCACAACCTAAATAAATAAATACACAACCTCAATTTCTCAAGCATATATAAATTCACAATCTCCTCAACTTTTCAAGCATTCACAACCTAAGAAAATTAAAATTACAATTCCAAGCATTCCAATTAAAGTTAAACTTCTCAAGCATTCCAATTCCAAATCCTTTAAAGTTACAAACCAAAAGCAAAATGCAAAGCAAAATGAATTAAAGTTACAACCAAAAGAAAAATCCAATCAAAGTTAATTAAAGTTACAAACTAAAAGAAAAATGCAATGCACCAATGTTACAAACTAAAGTTACAAACAAAAAGAAAAATCCAATTCAAAGTTAATTAAAGTTACAAACTAAAAGGAAAATGCTATGCACCAATGTTACAAACTAAAGTTACAAACTCAAGTGTTGGTGGTGAGTGGATTTGAAGAACCCCGTTGTGTTGTTTGAGCACCAATGTTATCTACAAATAAAACAACATAGTTTGGTACATTTTATTATAAGAAGAAACATAAATAACATTAGCATAAATAAACTAATTACTTACAAGTTGTCATATGTTCCATTTCTTTGTAGAATTCAACATCATCATCCGTGTAGCTATACTTTGCGGTTTGCGGTAATCGCAAGTTTTGAAAATCAAATACCGCAACCGCAACAGCAAATGCGGTTCGGTTCTTAATACCGCAAATGCGGTTCGGTTTACCGCGATTGCGGTTTCATTGCAGTAAATTGTCGGTTGGTTTTTGCGGTTTTTCGGTTTTTTCAGTTTAAAATGTCACCCCTACTATAAAATATGTTTTCAGAGAATCTGGATGTGTAATGTACCCTACCCAATATCTTTTTACATTTCAAACTCAAATGCTCTTCTTGCAGTATTTTTACATCATTAGCGGTGAGGAGTGGACTCGGCTAGCAAAGGACTATATCAAGTTTCTCTTATCGGAGTCCAAGAGCATTCGTTTACAGCGTTCCATGTACAAATGGGGAAGGTTCTACAAGAATCTGACTAAGAAGAAGTATTATGATAAGTTCTGGTTGGAGAAGGCCATAATCACTACCCCAACTTGGTGGGATAGCCCCAAAAAGTACCGGCACATCGTTAGATCTAATTTAGAATCAAATTCAGATGAATAACCCAGGTCACATTGCATAACCCTTCCCTCTACGTTGTTTGTGTTGATTTTGGAGGATGGTATAAGTCTTCTATTTTGCACCTATATTTTATTGTTTATTTTTTACAGTTGGGATCCTTAAATGATCAAATTCTTGTTTTTACAACAAAAAGGGCCCCCTCGATGGGATCTCTGCAATTCTATCATAACAGGAATAACAATTACAATAAAATCATGAGCGAGTTTTTTTCGTTTATTATTTTTCTATACAAGGGATATTGTGGGAAGAAGTTGTCGAACTTAGGACTTAGGATGCGGTGGTAAATGCTCACGAGCAAGTTTTTATTAGGTGTCATTTGAACTCCAAAATCAGTTGTATCTATCAAACTTTTCTTAGGAAATTTGCTGGTATTTTGACTTCGATTTTTTTATGTTTGTTAGTTTCATTCCAAACATAACTTCGCCTACTTTATTTGTGTCATCTCAACAAGCACATTCACGTACTGGTGCAATAGCAACTTTTACAATTGAGCAAGACGTGATCCAACTTCTTGGTGATAATAAATTGAGTCACTATATGTCAAGTTGCCATTCGAAATCAGATGCTCAACAAATTTTATTTTCTTTAACGTCACAACTGATAAGGGTTAAACTTTAATTTAGTTAACAACAGGGTAGCATTCCCATATTTAATTTTGGTGTTGGATTAAATTATGCCCCCCATGCAAGATTCATGATTAGAAGTCAATTGCTTGAGTTCTGTAAACATAGAAAGACTCTAAGAAGGTTTTTCTTAAGTTCTGGTTTTGTAAAAGGAAACTTAGTGAAAAATCCAAAAGAAACAAACAGCTTCAAAAACACCCAAAAACTTTTCAAAATGACGAAAAAACGATTATCTTTAGCATCAAACGCATGCAAATCCTAGAGCTCCTTCCTCCACCGAAAACCACCATCAACATGTGAAAATTTTGTCTTCAAGCAACCAGAACATGTGAAGACTTTGTCACGTTGCATCTGTCCAACAGTTATTACTGAGCAACGACAGTATCAGAAATAGTATTTTTGTTTCTTCGTACATATTTTTGAGTGCATTTTGTCTTAAAAAGTAGAAGAATCGTTTGTTTGCCATCAGTTGGCATGTGATGTATGTATGAAACTTCAAAAACACCCAAAAACTTTTCAAAATAATGAAAAAACCATTATTTTTAGCATTAAAGACATGTAAATCATAGAGCTCTTTCCTCCACCGAAAACCACCATCAACATGTGAAGAAACTAGACCTGCATGTGAAGATTTTGTCTTTAAGCAACTAGAACATGTGAAGACTTTGTCACTTTCCATCTGTCCAACAGTTATCAATGCGCAACGACAGTATCAGAAATAGTGTTTTTGTTTCTTTATACATATTTTTGAGTCCATTGTCTTAAAAAGCCGAAGAATTGTTTGTTTGTCATCAGTTGGCATGTGATGTATGTATGAAACTTGAAAAACACTCAAAAACATTTCAAAATGACAAAAAAACCATTATGTTTAGCATCAAAGACATGCAAATCTTAAAGCTCTTTCCTCCACTGGAAACCACTATCAACATGTGAAGAAACCAGACATGCATGTGAAGATTTTGTCTTCAAGCAACCAGAACATGTGAAGACTTTGTCACTTTGCATCAGTCCAACAGTCATTGTTGCGCAACGACTGTATCATAAATAATGTTTTTGTTTCTTTGTACATATTTTTGAGTGCATTTTGTCTTAAAAAGCAGAAGAATCGTTTGTTTGCCATCAGTTGGCATGTGATGTATGTATGAAACTTCAAAAACACCCAAAAACTTTTCAAAATGACGAGAAAACCATTATCTTTAGCATGAAAGACATGCAAATACTAGAGCTTTTTCCTCCACCGAAAACCACCATCAACATGTGAAGAAACCAGACCTGCATATGAAGATTTTGTCTTTAAGCAACCAGAACATGTGAAGACTTTGTTACTTTGCATCTGTCCAACAGTTACTGCTGTGCAACGACAGTATCATAAATAGTATTTTTATTTTTGTACATATTTTGAGTGCATTTTGTCTTAAAAAGCAGAAGAATCGTTTGTTTGCAATCAGTTGGCATGTGATGTATGTATGAAACTTCAAAAACATCCAAATTTTTTTCAAAATAATGAAAAAACCATTATCTTTAGCATTAAAGACATGCAAATCTTAGAGCTCTTTCCTCCACCGAAAATCACCATCAACATGTGAAGAAACTAGGCCTGCATGTGAAGATTTTGTCTTTAAGAAACCAGAATATGTGAAGACTTTGTCACTTTGCATATGTCCGATAGTTATTACTGCGCAACGACAGTATCAGAAATTGTACTTTGGTTTCTTTGTACATATTTTTTAGTGCATTTTGTCTTAAAAAGCAAGAGAATCGTTTGTCTGTCATCAATTGGCATATGATGTATGTATGAAACTTGAAAAACACACAAAAACATTTCAAAATAACGAAAAAAAACCATTATCTTTAGCATCAAAGACATGCAAATCCTAAAACTTTTTCCTCCAGCGAAAACTACCATCAACAAGTGAAAAAACCAGACATGCATGCGAAGAATTTGTCTTCAAACAACCAGAACATGTGAAGACTTTGTCACTTTGCATATGGCCAACAATCATTACTGCGCAACAACAGTATCATAAATAATGTTTTTGTTTCTTTGTACATATTTTTGAGTGCATTTTTATCTTAAAAAGCAGAAGAATGGTTTGTTTGCCATCAGTTGGCATGTAATGTATGTATGAAACTTCAAAAACACCTAAAAACTTTTCAAAATGACGAAAAAACCATTATCTTTAACATTAAAGACATACAAATCCTTGAGCTCTTTCCTCCACCGAAAACCACCATCAACATGTGAAGAAACTAGACTTGCATGTGAAGATTTTGTCTTCAAGCAACCAGGACATGTGAAGACTTTATTACTTTGTATCTATCCAACAGTTATTACTGTGCAACGACAGTATCATAAATAGCATTTTTGTTTCTTTGTACATATTTTGAGTGCATTTGGTCTTAAAAATCAGAAGAATCGTTTGTTTGCCATTAGTTAGCATATGATGTATGTATGAAACTTGAAAAATACCCAAAAAAATTTCAAAATAACGAAAAAACCATTATTTTTAGCATCAAAGACATGCAAATCCTAGAGCTCTTTCCTCTACTGAAAACCACCATTAACATGTGAAGAAACCAGACCTGCATGTGAAGATTTTGTCTTCAAACGACCAGAACATGTGAAGACTTTGTCACTTTGCATATGTCCAACAGTCATTACTGCGCAACGACAGTATCATTAATAGTATTTTTGTTTCTTTGTACATATTTTTGAGTACATTTTGTCTTAAAAAGAAGAAGAATCGTTTGTTTGCCATCAGTTGGCATATGATGTATGTATGAAACTTCAGAGAGAGAGACATGGTATCATATAGAGAGGCTTCTCATCTCATCCTTAGCCATCCTTAGCAGAAGAATACAAGTCGGTGAAAGTTGTATATATAGTTTGTAACTCCGAAGAGAGAAGTACAGCAACACCAGGGAAGAAAAATTCTTTGAATCAATAAATTCCCATTGTTCATATACTTTCTATTATTTTCTTACTATTCTCTTATTTCGACCACTGTTAATACCAGGTCATAACAGTTCCAACAACAAAAGTAATTAAGTAAGTTTTTTTCTCTTTTATTTTTATTTTCTTAGTAGATTTCTTGTCCAAAATAGGGAAACACTTTTCTTAATTATATTATTATCTTGCTAAACTGACAATCAATCCTTTGTTTGAGCACTTGGTCAGGTTTTGTATTTGCCATAACAATAATTAGATGTCTATCAGGGAACATCTGAGTTCTGAGGACCTCTGAGTTTTGCTCCACAGCCGTTCAAGTTGATGTCTTTGCAGTTCCATGTTCTAGTTTTATGTTCTAGGCATGATGTCTGGTTGATATTTTAGCATTTAGAAACCTTAACTGAGACCTCTCGAAAAATAATGGTATCAGAGCTTTGGTTGAGCACCCTAATAATATGATTATAACAGTAAAGTACCTTTAGGATAGAAGTCAATCAACACAACTGATAAAAACTAATGTTTTATAACCTGTTAAAATTTTGCTAATTACTAGAATCACTAGTTAAGAATAGTAAACTCTTTGCATGGTTGGCCTTCGGTGGACACCTATTAGAATAAAAGAAAGGTTACTAGATTAAAGAGGTAAAAAGTTGAATACCAAATAGAAATTAGAAATCTAGAAGAATTGATAAAATCACCAGAAATAGGTAATTATCCTAGAAGAAAATTAAAAGTACAAAATAGCATAATAAGAAACTAGCATCATTTACAAGTTTGTAAAGAATCCATAGAAACATTTCAAGAGCATTTAGGCATCTTAAAAGAAAAAGGTAGACTTAGATAAACTGTAATTATATGATAGAGTATCTTAATTTAGAAATCAATGAACAACAAAAGAAAAAATTAACCTTAGATAATAATACATTAGTTTGTTATTTTCTATAAACGAACACAAACATCTATCACATAGCAGTAACAGTCCATTAGAAAATAGTATTATTGATCTTTTAATTAGTCAAGCAAAAAGTGTAAAATTTGAACATAACAAAAATAATAGAATACTTCAACAGTTATTATAATATTTTCAGAAAAACTCCTTAAAAACAATTAGACAAAACTTAGACTATATAACATCTCAATTAGAAGATAATAATAAAAATATTCAAAGATTTCCTAGTAAGAAAGAAATCAAAGACCTCATAGATCTTATAGATAGCAAGCCAAAACAAATAGAACTCCAATCACTAGAAATCATTGAGCAATTAAAAATAAAAGTGCAAAAAATTCAATTAGTACAAAACAATTAACCAAACAAGTAGAAAAGTTACATAATAAAATAAATAGACTTTTAGTTTAATGACATATTCTAAAATTAATAATAAATATATCAAGGCACTAGAAGAAGTTGG